TAAAAATTGTACAAAATTACTCAAAAAATCGTCTGTTAAATTCATGGGACATAATTATCACGCTGTATACTATAAAGACATAGGTCCGATAATATAATAAGATAATAATAAGAATATTTATGCTTTATTGCAATTTGTTAAATTTTTGCGGACACCAAAAAATAGACTGAATCGATTGAAAAACACGTCAACAAAGATCGCAAAATTTTAACGGGTTTAAATCTGGCGATCTGGATTACGTATTCAGAGACTGATTTGTAGTTCTTTGTACCTAATTTTCAACAACGTATTACATGATCCTGCCTCCACGAATTTTCTTAGAAGGTTATTGTAAAGCACTTGACCATAATCAACGTTTATCATCTCAATTTTCCAATTGAAATGACCAGTAATTTTTATTTTTAATTTTAGAATTTGCCATTCAGGAAGTTCTAATACAATAATGGTCAAACGTTCGTACTAATCCAAAATTTGCTCCAATTTATGTAAATGATATACCTCAAACACATTGTATTGTAGAGGATGCCAAACCTTTCGATGCATTGTTTTTCTTTGAAAATCCCACGCGCGCTCAGATGCGCCACTAGAGATTTGAATTGACTCGAATAAGAAAAAATGGCATCAATTAGGGGACTCTACACTTCCACGTAATGCTTATATCAGTTCATGAAGGCACAAGTTAACCCATCTGAGAAAAATCCAGCTTTGGACATGTACAACAAAAATTAAATGGATCAAGTCAGCCAAAAAGGCAAACATACTATTCAGTTATACACTCCCACTCCCCCCCAATTTTTAACCCCTACAATTTTTCTTCTGAAAATGATTTGGCAAAAAATGACGTTTGAGCATTTTTTTCCTTTTTTGCCGTTGGCTTCACCACTCCTGGACCGATTTTCAAAAGCTACAAAAAAATTATATCAAAATCTGAGCAGTACTTTGAAGTTATAGACGGGCCAACGATTAGCGGACCGAGAGAGACAGACCGATGGAAATAAACATGGTGTTTCGTGATTTAGTTGTCATTTTCAAAAATTTTGAAGATTACAATGCTTCCTCGCCGGTGGCGTAGGAAGTAAGAATCGATTAAGCTTAAGCGAAAAAAATTAAATGGAAAGATTTAAATACGACGATCTAGATTTGTTACTTTAATGCGTTTTTTTAATTGTTGAATTTTCGGCGATATCTCTTTCCCTTGTTAAATTTCAACTGGCCATCACGATTTTTAAGCAACGAGTTTTTAAACTGGTCACACGTGTATTGACAATGAAGCATCACCAGACCTACACCACCGTTCAAAAGTTTCCGGACATGATGTTCAATAACGAAAAATGAAAAACGTAATAGAAGCTGGGTCATATAGCGAAAAATAATTACTCCCTAGTCTGAAATGCACAGAGAATAATAACTGTGAACACTTTCGAATCCAAGTTATAGTTGCACGTATTTTGCCCTCCAGTGGTGTGAGAGTTAAAAACGTAAAAGCAGCTTGAAACATCGATTCGCGAAGAGTCCTTCCATTTTAACTATCAATCGTCAAGCATCCGGAAGCTTCTGAATAGTAGTGTATACAGGTTGTTTCAAATTCGACCGTTACCATTGGGATCTCGGAAACTGTAAGAGATACGAAGACGCTCAAATGAAGGCAAAGTTGCGTATTCAGGTAATCGACAAAATGTCGCTCACAAAGTTTCGAAATTGAAAGTACTTCCGGAGAGAGACGGAAAAAACAGAATTTTCCCAAAATCGTTTTAATTTTTTCTGACATCATTTGTAGTGGGATTCCAAAATAAAATGCAAATTAACATTGCCATCTCCAGTACAATTACACATTACAGCATAATTAGGAATTTCAATAGGACGTTTCGTCTCTTGTCCTTCAGCATTACCTTTATTTTTTCTTTATAGACGCTATAATGGATTTATGCATAGATGAATAGAGTTTTTAATTTCAATTCCAAAAAATGTATAATCATAATGCAATGACATTGTCAAACCTTAGTTATTTAAGAAAGCAGAAATTCCTAGGCAGGCCTTGTAATTATCAGATTTCATTTGTTTCGAATACCAGACCAGACCTTAAATTGAACATGGCAACAAAGTTTGGAAGACTGAGAAGAAGAGAAATAAATCGAGCAATGTACATAGAAGAGTCAGGCTTTGTCTGCAGAATAACGGACAACATTTTAAACATCTGGTATGATTTACCTTTGCTTATTTATGATTATTATTGTTATTACCATCATTAAAATTTTCATTTTTTGTACAGGTTTCGCCATACCATTTCATTTGCTGATAATTTTCATCGAACAACAAACTCATTGTCAACTTAGGGAAGAAATCACTGAATTTGGGACTTAAAAGTCCATTTAAATGTACAAAATTCGAATATAGCGTCTATATGAAAAAACAAAGTTGGTGATGGAAATCGAGAGAAGAAATGTCGAATTGAAAATTTGACTGCGTCATCTTGTAGAGGAGAATAAGTAGCAATGACAACATGCAATTTATTTTGAAATCCCACCTCAAAGTCAGGCAAAAATTAAAGTGATTTTGGGAAAATTCGGTTTTTCCGTCTCTCTCCGCAAGTACTTTGAATTTTGAAACTTTCTAAGCGGCATTTTGTTTATGTTTTCGTACTTTGCCTCAATTTAAGCGACTTTGTATCTGTTACAGTTTCCGAGATCCCAATGGTGAAGGTCGAATTTGAAGCACCCTGTATTCCAAGCTTTTACTCTTAGAATCGCCTCTTGAAATTTAGCCAGCAACTTTATTAACACCCTGTATTATGCGTCTTATAGCTACCTCAAATTACTGAGTTTGTTGAATTCAACCTATCAAGAGGAACGTACAAAGCTTCCCCTGTAAGTTGATTCACCCTAGGCACGTAATAGTCTGAGAAGTCTGTCTAGCAGACCTAAATAATGTCGGAGAAACAAATATGTACAGTGTGTCCGAAATCGGAGAAAAAAAAACGGGTTACACTATCTACCTAAATGTGTAGTTAATAAATGTTCCACTTAAATTAATTAAAGGTGTTCTGAGTCATCAGCACAGTTGTGAGCAACAATATACATTACGTGGTTTGACCACTATGATCCACCTATGCTCCTTTTGCAGACGCTTATTTGGCAGATATCGTTCTCAGTAGAACAAGTAATCCTAATAAGCTATGTAAGCAAAATACTGAGTTTAAACTTAGGCTGGGACACCGTAGTATACAGTAGATGGCCCTTACTATACATAGCACGGAGTGGAACACGCACCTAATCGGACTGTTTGCCTGTGTTATTAATAGATAGTCAATTTTGAAGTCTTTCTTCGAAAGCATGAAAATAATAACAGTCCATTACCGAGGTATCTTTATTATCAAACAAAAAAAGAATCAGTGACATTCGTTTTTTTAAATGTTGCCCGTCACTTCGGGTAACGTGATCGATTTAAAATTCCAAAGGATCGGGGTATAAGCGGGCTCTGAAGTAACTCAAATTTCAAGTTGATCGCAACTATGAAATGTACGAGGGCGACCCAATAAGTAGGTAGCCTCACTGCCGGATAGCACCACTATCGCAAGAGATTTACTTCTGTGTAGTATATTCTCGTAGTCGGATACTGTCAAAATTTCAGCCGAATCGAAGTAGTAGTTTTGTTTTGACCGCGTGAGGAAGCGGGCGTGTCCGCGGATCTTAGAAAAATGGAAAAAGAGCAATATCTGTCGGTGATTCGATTCTTGTTTTTGGGAGGGAAATCGCACATCCATATCAAAGGGCGCTTGGATGCTGTGTACGGTGACTCTTCTTCGATGACGACGGTCAAAAATTGGTTTTAACGAGTTTCAACGGGTCGCACGTCGGTTTTTAATGAACGATGCCCAGGTGCCCCGAAAACGGCTACCACGATCTCGCATTGGCAGATCGCCGATTGAAGAAGCGCGAGATAGCTGAGTCAGTAGGCATTTCAGAAGACCGCGTGATTCACATCCTGCATGAAATATTGGGCATGAGAAAGCTGTCTGCTCGATGGGTGCCGCGTTTGCTAGACCAAGGAACAGTCGAAACAGTGGACTTCACCCGATGAACGTGCTTCGAAGAAGGCGAAGACTGACTGTCCTATCGACCGATAAGGCCATTGTTTTCTGAGACTCACAAGTTATGATCTACATCGACTACCTGGAGAAGGGCAAAATTTTCGCAGAGAGCTCTACTATGAAGACTTATTGGGCCGATTCGACCCCGAATTACGGAAAAAACGTCCTCATTTGGCGAAAAAAAGTGCTCTTCCACTTTGACAACGGCTTGCAGGGCAGAAATTTGAGTCGAATGATGAGGTTATCGCCGCCACGGAGGCCTACTTTGCAGACCTCCAGAAAACGTATTTTTCAGATGGGTTAAAGAAGTTGAAGCATCGCTGGGTTAAGTATATCGAGCTGAAATGTGACTATGTTGAGAAATACATCGACACTTTTACAAAAATTTTCTTTTTCTTTTGAAGGGTAAGTACTTAACGGACCGCCCTCGTATGTAAAACTGATTTGAAGGTATGTGCTTTTTGGTTCATCTGTGACAAATTAACAAATTTAAAGAAAATAAATGTTCAAGTGATATCTAAGACAGTGGAGAATCTTTCAATGTTTACCGAAAGGATATTGAATTGCTAGAGTAACAGTTAAATGCCAAACCTTAATGTTAATGTTAGAAAGGATAAAGTACAAAAATAATCCATATAAACTAAATGTAGCTTTATCACAAGGAGGTTAGGGGTGGAGCATATTGATCAACCCTCGTATTATGATGAGTAATCTTGATCTATACTTTAACTGAACAAAATGAAAGCGTATCTTGCAAACCTGACACCAACTTTAACTAACAACAAAAGGTATCATGAGCAAAATACTAACAATTAAACTCCATGTGGTGACTCAAAACACTTTTATAAATTCATACTGCAAGTAGATATGAATAAAAGTTAGTAGGAAATAAATCAAAATCTATTTTACTCACCTTCCGGCTCTACCTTTTAGGGTATACGACAAATTATATGATGTATTGACGTAATTCTCAGGTGGTGTCCACGTACAAACCAAATCTTCATAGTTTCTACTTATACACGAGAAATCTGTCACATTTTGGGGTGGCACTGAAATCACGACATTTTCAATCTTCATATATTTTTTATAAAATTTAAGCTTACCTCCTACAATAACGGTATTCATACAGACTAGCTTTTCTTCTTTTCTATTTCTTGTATCATTAAACAAACAGTAATACATGTCTTTCTTTACCATTGGATGTCTTTGCACGTGTAGGCGAATACTTGTCGAGTTTATAATCTCAATCTGCAAGGAAAAAATGGCGTCAAGCAGAGTGGCTTTAAACATTTAACATTCTAGCTATAAGAACATTCTAAGCGTTGGATAAGTGAAAAGGAGAGTCCAATTAATAAATTTAAAATATTTTAACTGTAAAAAACAAGTTTAGATTTTTTTTAAAAAATGAAATTTCTAATTATTTGTCTTCCTGTTATCCGGAAACATGTAACGCATATAATAAACACATGTCTAGGCGTTGGATATTTTCCGAACGTATGGAATGAATCGCTTATCATTCCAGTCGACAAATTGCTATGCCCATTCCAGTTTACCCCCTGTTTTACAGGTCAACAATCTAGATTTAGAGACGACGACACCCCTTCTAACGATAAATGATGACATCGTCACTGCTTTTGATAAAAGTTATGTTACATTTTTATTGCTTCTTGATTTTTCAAAACCTTTCGATATAATTAACCACGAACTCTCATTATCAAAATCGAGTTATTTAAGACCTTCCGAGAATTTTTTCGGCACTGTTCAATTGGTAGACGTCAAAAAATGCATTAGGCGGCAAACATTCATCACGATAAAATCTGGCGTCCCACAAGGTTCTATTTATTCTATTCACATTATACAACTCAAATGACCTACGCCGATGATACCCAAACGTATCTATCATTTCACCCTAGATAACCAAGTGACCAAGTGACTACAAGCCTTGACATTCCCATGTTTAAAAGCTGGAAGAGTGTGGATCTCGGGAAAATACAGATTTATACTGAAAAGCTATCATGCCTGAATATTTCAGAGACTGAGAAGCTGTTAGAATTTTATCGACATTAATTGACCAAAGAAGTTACTAGAGATAACTATCCAGAATTAATAGAACTTTCAATAATATTCCTTGGCGGAGACACAGAGAAAAAATTTAAGATTCGATCGCCAGGCGCCATGCATCAAGCTCGATACATTGCCAGAGCAATCTATTCATTAAAAGTAGCGTTACTAAGTTCCCAGCTCAAACTTACTAATAAGAATATGGCAGCTCTGTTAGATATCTGCCTGTTCATCGTGACAACATACGTGAAATCGTGGTTGCAATGCACTTTACTGGTAAAAGCACCTAACCAGGACTTATGCTTTTTAAAGGCAATGAAGGCTTACGAAAGAATTGACAAAACCATTTCAACGCCAGCTTTACGAAAGTTCTGCCAGAATTTATGGTATTTGACAGATGAGGTCTCCGTCTTATTTCTGTTTAACGACGACGTAGATGAAAAAACTAAAGTACAAATTGTTGCTAATTTAGCCAAAGAAAGTCCATCAGTCCACGGTAAACGCTACATAGAAAATACTTTCTAGCCCACTTTATGGTAATTGTGAAGAATAAACGTTCCTTTGTCCTCTTTTACTGCTTGGATATAATATGCTAACTGTTAAAATGAGCCAGCATAAACTGCGATTCTGGCTGGCAATAAATGGCACCTTATACTGTTTCGATAGATCTTATACCTCAGTTAGAGGTTAGTTGCTACGCTTTCGTTCGTTGGCCTGACCTGAGGTCAAGCCTAGACGATGCTGATGAGTTGCCAAAAAGCACAAAACATCTGTCCATGGTTGACTGTCTGTGGTCAGACGGACAAAACCAGTATGTTTAGATGGTAGCTATTCTTCGTTTTTTCAGTTCAGAGATAAATACCGATGACTTTGTTGCAATCAAAAGCAGGTCCTTGTTCAGTCAACTCAAAATTGATGATAGTTTTCTTGACGAGTGTTCAACTGCATGGCCACATGATTTTCTTCAACATGCTAAGAATAAGGTGCAAACACTGAGAGCAGTTAACGATACGGCAGAAACAGCAGTCAAGTTAATGCAAGACTTTCATGGCTTCATCACTCACTGCTGATGAATAACAAGAACAATTTTTATTACGTTGCGTACAAGAACACAGGCAGGTATATCCTGACTATAAAAAGAAAACTTTGAAAAGAGAATTCAGTCAATACCTTTAATGATATATATCTAAGAAATATAAGATACAAATTAAGCAGTGCTTTATTTGTCGAATAAGAATTAAGTTTTGAAATCCATACATGGTTTGCCTATTAACTCACAAATTCAAAGTTTGACCGAAAGTCGGCACAGGTTATCGTTCCCCGATCACAATATTTATTTTTTGATTTGTTAGAGTCAAATGGAAAAAATTAGAGGATATGAGTGTCTCAATTCGAACAGAGAATCGTTTGCCCTCATAGGCTGGGACATCTAATGTGTATATACAGGGTGTCCCAGAAATCACACGCCAGAGTGACACGGGAGGTAGATTCGCTGCAGATCAATCAGATGAAATCAACATGACTTATGTCGGGTTCATGCACGACTTAACGTAGCCTAATTTAAGGATCACCTGTTTCTACACCAGCGTCCTCCACATGTTACGCCGCCCGAGCGTAACTAGCTAGTGATTTCCAGCGGTGGCCAATTTTTGACATGATTCGGGTAGTTTCGGAACTCGTCTTACCCTTTCCATGCGGTTTTATGCTTCTGTTGCTGTAATTATAATAATTCTGTGGCGTGTCGTATTCCAGGACGATTTACGGACCAAGTCAGGCGTTGAATCATTCTGTTGTTTTTGTTTGAGTTGTTGGCGAATTTGCGGTAGAGATTTGTTTTGGTGTTCGTTTTCGGGTGTGTTTTTCTGTCTTGGACTTGTTTTTTGTGCGATTAATGGCAGTGCCTCGAGCAAACAAACGAAAAGCCGCGCTGGCATTAACACCTGACCTTAGTGAAGAGGTACCTGCATAAGGCACCTGAACGCAATCGGACATCCCCAGAGGAGCGCCTAATGATGACGTTGCAGTAAGTATTATTTCGTAAGTATTACGACTTCAATGACAAGAGTTGGAATTATTCAGTTTTTAGTAGAAAGAACCTACAAATGTTATACTACTTTTGAAAGAGCATTAAATAGCTAGTTTTTAAGGTCATTTGCTGATTCAGTCACAGTAATTAGTCAAACTTTAGTAGAATTGAAACTAAGTGTAATAATTTAGTTATTTTTAGCATACCGTGCTAGTTTTCTATAAAATGAATACTCGGTTGTCTCAACAAACTATTAACATAATTGTAGCCCAGTAAAAAAAATCATAAGTTAGAAGTTCTGTATAGCCATAACAAGCAAAAAAGGAGCAAAAGTAGAAAACTTTTACTAAGGTCATGCTGATTTTATCTGATTGATCTGAAGCCAATATACCTCCCGTGTCAGTCTGGCATGTTCTTTCTGGGACACCCTGTATGTATATAAGTTTCTAGTATCGAATGTCACACAAGGGTTAAGTGGAAGAATAGCCGAAGCTAAACTTCGTCCATTTATAATGTATCGTTATAAATAAAGCCGTTTATTTTTATTATTATTATTATTTTCGTGATACGCGGAATTTCTCGATGTTTATATTAACCTTTGCCACAGAAGAAAACATCTAAAACAGTTCCACGAAATACTGCGTTCTTATTGATGCATCCTCTATCTTAAAATAAAATACTGCTAAATGGTCTCTATTGCAAATTACTAATTAATTAGAGAAATCAAATATGCAAAATGCACGAAAGGTCTCAACTTGACTCGGAGAAAACAAATTGGAGGGAAACTTCAGTCGCTCTGCTTGCTGCAAATTCAATCAAACCATCCCCGAAAAATCCTATTACATCATACAAGTGCTGCTGTAGAAATTCAGATTCCACGAAACAGGGCCGGCCTTAGGACCTTCACTTGAGAGGCCACGACTTAAACGATAGGGCATTATTGAACCACTCCTTATGTCCAGGCAGTATTTTGTCGACCGTACCTGCCACTGATGCGACGTAAAAGTAAATTTATTGATTTCATGCGTCCTTGTACCCCAAACACAAGTAGCAAAAACTGCCGCTAGAAGTTTGAAAATCACATGGGGGGTTGAGAATCAAAATCAAATAACCAAAATAATCCAAAACAAAAATACAACCATCAACTTATATTTTTGAGACCGATTTGTAAACGTTGTTTTGATAGACGTCCTAATATTTGACTTTTGAAAAAAAAAACAAAAGGGTTCGAGAAGGGTGAAAACTACATCCACCCCTACATAACTTATAGAAGAATTTTCATTTTCTGTCTCCTATAAAAACATGCCATCTGGCATAGTTTTCGAGAAAAACATTTTTTTTTTCGGAGCTGCTTTCTAAAAAATTTTGTTATTATATCAAATGTTAAAATCAAGTGCGCATATAGTTGGCGGAAATGTGGGATGTTGTCACTTCATGAAGCTTGTTGTCAACAATAATCTGACACTGACATAACGTCAGTAAAAAAAACAATTCTGGCAGGCACAAGGACAAACCTATATCTGTTAAAATGTTTCAACATGCAATTGAATGAAACAAGACTTACCTCTTCTTTAGGGACTAGGTCATTATTCCTTTCGAAATATAACAGAGCGCTGGCATTTTCGCCGTACGCTAACGTTGAGTTATCACATAAGTTGCATGTGATGTTCAATGCGTCTCCATATAGTAGCGTTATATCTCCTGAAGGAACAGTATCTGAAACAAATACAAACAATTATATACGGCTACTTTAGGGTCATATCGTCAGTCGTTCCTAAAATAAATTGTAGGACGCCTTTATGGTCTCCTTGATTTTCATAGTTTACTACTCTTAGGTGTCAGCGCTCTATTTTGAGGTTATGTTACAAATATCTAGTTGCATCAAATTGTTCATGCTTTTGATTTCTATCATTTGTTATATCACCCGGAAATTTCCTATAATTCAAAAATAAAACATAGCCAGAAAAGGTGCGCTGATGCTGACACTAAACAGTAGAAATCTAGAAATACCTTTCTGAAATAGAGAAAAGATTATCAAAATCAAGGAGGCCAAAAAAGCGTCCTACAATTGTAGGAACGACTGACGATACGGCCCTTAGAAGCCATATACATTTTCTGAAAAGATCAACCGGAGTTTTGGCATATGTGGCGGGCCTGATAAATTTGTTTCAATTGTATGTTGGATGGAAGTTTATGATGAGACAATATTCCCAAACTTTCACCTCCCACGTCAATTGGCAAGAATACTTTAGTCGCGAAGAGAAGACATTACGAGGCAGATTTATAGACCTTGTTCGCGGCTTCCTTGGAAACTGTAAAACAATGACGCTTCCTTGAGGACCGTTCAAGGGAGGATTTAAATTTTCATTTTACAGTGGGCTGTAACAGTTGTCCACCACAAGGTGTCATCGATGTCACAAAGATTTTTCTTTGCTGGCCGTATCTGTTTAGCATTTTGATGATAAAATTGGGATGGTTTGGTTTATTTTTAAATATCAATAAACAATGCAAAAGAATCATATGTTTGCTTCTTCGAATTCCAGCGCAATCACAGAGAAGTATTAAGCTGAATATAGGTAACCAGTGCATCGAGCAGCTCTGCTGCCTCTAACCGTTTTTATTTTCAATGATCCCTTTAAATTTGTCTAGCATCTCGATCAAATGCATCTTATCGCTAAACTTCTTTTTTCATTTATATTTTATATAATTTATAATAATCTAAAATTTGATATAAAATGTTTTTTTATGAAATGCTGTAGTAGTTGAATCTGACATACATAACCTACAAACTGCAGCCAGCAGAGCAGTTCGGTGCAACCGGTTACATATACAGGGTGTCCCAGAAGTCGACCTCAAGACGAAAACTGGGGATATACCAATTCATAATAGTTATCAGAAAAATATAAAAAACTTAAGTCGTGTACTTTTCAAATTACGGGCTTTAAAAAAACTGTAAAAATCCGAAAAATCTACACCTTGTGATGATCTTTTAGTGCCCATTACTACAAATTTTAATTTTTTCTTTGACGCGAGTGTCGGACAGTGTCATTCTAGGTAGTGACAGCAAAGCAGATAATAACGCCAGTTTTATTAATTCAAGATTGTGTAGCGCCAACATGTCTGAGTTACCCAGTACAGGCACAGCTTAGATAACAATCAGCTATGAAACTCTCCTGACAGTGTCAAAAACGGCCGCCATTTCGGCGGAGAAAAGTCGAATGTAAATTCCCCCAGTACAACGATGAAACCAGCAGCCGGTGTTGGCTCGTGTCATGCCACCGGCCGCAGACATTCTTTACAATCTTTCATGTTTGTACTGGGGGAATTTACATTCGACTTTCTCCGCCAAAATAACGGCTGTTCTTGACACTCACAGGAGAGTTTCATAGCTAATAGTTATTTAAGCTGGAATACCCAAACATGCATTTCATTTATGGGGAATGTAGGTGCAATGCTTGTGCTCCAGCTAGGATTTAACGTGAGAGGTACTCAAATGCTGCTCGTCATCCCAATCACAGACTTTTTGTGAATGTGCACCGTTTACTCTCAACGGACGATTCCCAAATCAAGCACATATTGAACGAACAAATTCCTTTCCATAGGAAGACTACAAGCAGTCGAAGAAGACGCGAGTACGTCAAATAGAAGCAAGCTCGGGGGTGCCGAAAAGTAAACCCCACCGAATCTTGCGAAAAAACGGACTCCACCGGTACCACGTACAGCGAGTACAATCTCTACAATCTCGGGATTACCTTCCAAGAGTTAAGTTTTGTCAAACAATGTTACAGAGACACCGGGAAGATACGCGATTTTTAGGAAACAATTTTATGGACTGAGGAGTTGACATTTGAAAAAGATGGTTACATGAATATTAACAGGGTGTAGATTTTACCGATTTTTTTGAAGCCTATTTGAAAAGTACACGAGTTAGAAATTTTGACATTTTCTCTTAAAATTCAATAATAACTAATATACTTGAGGCGCTTATAAATTTTGCTACATATACCCCATATATTATAAAAAAAAATTCTTGCGCAGGAAAACATCAACCACCAGATTTCAAATCGAATTTCTGCTCCCTTTTTGGGTTAATAAGGATTGTATAAAACTAGTTAAATCGTTTATAAAACATTAATTGTTAGTTGGGAGGCGCGGGAAGTAAAAATAGCCGACAGCCATTTCTCATAATGTTTTTGCGGGATCTTCTCCCGCGAATGCGACGTTTTCGGCACTTCTATCTAAAAATGACTATTTTCTATAAAAAAATATTTGTACTTACATCCCAAAGTCTTCATTTTCGCACAGGTGCAGCATTCTGCCCCGGCTATGCTGCTAAGTACCGCTATGAAAATCAGAAGACATGGCTGGTGAGGTGAACCCATGTTTGCGGACAACCGTCACCCTGGAATCAAACCAGACAAATGTCAGTACGTCACTAGTTCAGTCGTTTGTGTTATGAAACGTTCCTGAGAATATTATTCAGCGATAACTCCTGCTAAAAGCGCTCAATTCCAGTGGCGTACCGTGCTAATAGTAGCGCAGGGATGATGGCGGTACAAGGCATGAATTTAAGTCAGAATTTCAATAAAGTAGCTCAAGGTCTTTGTTACTGTTTTATTGACGTAAGCAAAATAATTATTCATATGTATGCATATTTTAAGATCAAGTGCATACGATGCATTTTTTATGTAGCATAAAAATATAACAAATTCTTGTAAATGCGGGAGGCGTATGTACTTATATCTATTAAGTATTCTTGCCCAATTGATTGAACCTACATTTTAGCGAACTAAAAAAAATTTGATATTTGATATAGTTATTATAAACGAGTAGTTATTACACAATAGTTGACTAACTTAATCATCAGACAGTAAGACTAGAGTACTTGTCATAAGGAATCAAGCGAAGTTCTATTTGATGGGTTCCCATGGCCACTTCCTGGCTTCATCATGAGATCATCTCCATGTCATAATAATATTGCATTGACAATTGTCATAGTAAACGTCCGCCATACGTCACTTCGCTCATTGTGTTCCTTTCTCAATCCCTTTGATTTGATATCTATAATATGGGGGTGACTATGGAAATTATATATCGCTATTTTGCGGCAGCCGCCATATTGGATCTAGAATAAAGTCACACTACTTACTGTATCTCTCTCATCAAGCCCTTTCAACCAATAACCATATCATACGGGTAACTATAGAAATTATAAACTCTATCTTCGGGCTGTCGACATATTTGATTTGAAATGACATTTTGCTCATTGTGTTTCTCTCAAATCCTTCCATCTGATGCCCATATTACAGGGGTGACAATGGAAATTATAGATCGCCAAATTGCGGCGTCCGCCATATTGGATTTACAATGATGTCACTTTAGTTATTGTGTTTCTCTCATCAAGCTCTTTCATTTCATACCCATATAGGGATATATCGCCATTATGTAGCATATGCCATATTAAATTCAAAATGACGGCAGTTCATTCATTATCTATAGTCACACGAACGAGACAGGCATAAAAAATTTCATCTCGATTGGCTAAGAATAATTGGTTCAAAATTCAGTTTAAGGATTTGTCCCACACATGCATACCAAAGAACATACTAACAGTCACTTGTACAAGGCTTGTAAAAAGTGCTATTGTTAATGCAATTTATACTGAAATCCCAGGTCAAATTAAACCAGGAGAAAATGAAAACGGTTCAGGGTAAATTCATATTTTCTCCTCTCTAAAAATAGTCTCAATTGCCAAACTATCTAAGTGGCATTTTATTAGTTACCAAAATCCGCAACTTTGCCTTCATAAACGATTTTGTATTGTATTGCTTACCGTGTCCGAATATAGAATCTCTAGTGAATAAATATAGAGAGCTTTTAGCAAAGCTGAGTTAAAATTCAACGCAGGTTTCAACTAATCCTAGTACTTATATTATAAATCTCCTGTAATACGTATTGGCACAGCTTGGAGAACCCTGTACATGAACAAATTTGTCATAATTAATTTCTATAACAAAACTTCATTTAATTTAGTGGAAAGAACGAGGACAGCTCCTTCGGATACGTTCATAAACTACAATATGTACAGCGAGAGCGAAAATAGTGAGAAAAGTTAATGCTTTTATGAAAAGTGAGTCGCTAGCATCCCTGTTAAGCGCTTACGCCATAAGGTTTCCTTGTCAGGAATTGTAAGCAATTTCATCACATAAGGGCTTCGAAGGTATTATACCTTGCATATGTGCAGATCAAACTTGAATCTGCGAGTATTGTATGGAACCCATATTACCAAATTTATATAAACGAAATTGAAAAGGTTCAAAGATGGTTTCTTACATTTCTCTATATGAAGTCTGAGAAAAGGAGTTAGCAATGCACAGCGGTGTGGGCATTTTGAAATTCAAAGCTTAGAGTTCAGAAGAAACGTTTCATCTTCAATATTTCTTTTCAAACTCTTACATGGCATGATCGACTTCCCAGACATTCTAGCGCAAGCTAATAGTTATGTACCTCCGTCTTCTTCGCGCAACTATGTCACTTTTAAACCATCTAGAGCAAGGATCAATGTTTTGGTCAAGTCACCTGTGCATGTCATGTACAACAATCTCAATAGAGTTAGCTGTCATTGCGATATATTTGTATCTTCTCTTGGCGTAGTAATAAAGATGGCTTATCAGTACTTAAATTGATTATTTTATTTCCAAACTCTGTCGTAGACTGTTCGTTTATTGTCTTCAATGTAATTCTCCTGTAAATGGGTAACTGCTGGACTACAAATGCTATTATTATTATCACACTAAGAATTAAAAAAAATGGTGATTACATAGTAATATTTTTTCTAGTTACAGATTAATCTTCAACATGAATTTTGAACTTTTTGTAAGCGCTTGACTTGAATCTAAAAATGGATGATAAACAATGTAGCAGGCTTCCTTTGCATAAAATAAAGAAAATTGAAATTTTGCACGTCAAAACCTACGAAGATAACATTTTCCCCTAATAATATAACATAAATCATAAACGGAACCAGTTAACTTTAGAATAGCTTCGGATTCAGTTTCAGCGACCCAAAATTCGTAAGCCATTGGTAATTTTAATTTCTTACTGGCCATGGTAGTATGAAATGCCCAAAGTGGCACAGTCAGGAATTTAAGTACTATAAAAAAATAAAAAATCGAAAATGGAAATTTTGCACGTCAAAACCTATAAAGATATCAATTTTTGCCTAATAATATGACAGAAATCATAAACGGGACCATGTAACTTTTGAATAGCTTCGGGTTCAGTTTCAGCGAGCCAATGGTAATTCCAATTTTTAGTGGCCATGGTAGTAAAAAACGCCCAAAATTGGGAAAATGGAAATGTCACTTGTTTAGTTCTGCTAGATTACACAAAAGCTTTCGATATGATAGAAATTTTTCTACTTAAGCTATCTTACTACGGTTTTACTGGCGCTGCAGTCCGTTTGATACGCTTTTATTCGTCAAATAGAAATCAAAAGGTCCTATCAGCTTCGAATATGTCACACAACTGCTTTAGAGTTTGGTATTCCTCAAGGTTCCATATTGGGACTTTTAGTTTTCTCTCTGTATATCTCAGATTTCCATCAATATGTAAATAATTGTAATATATGTCTTGATACTCGTGACTATGCCGATAATACTCAAATTTATTTTAGTTTTCAACATAAAGATCTTAAAATTGCAGAGCTTTACTCAACGAAGATTTAAAAAGGCTAGTACACATCTCGTGCTCGCATAACCTAAAAATTAATACATCTAAATCTTCAGTTATACCCTATTTCACGAGTATCGATCACGGTAGAATGACAACTGATTATCTAGTAATATCTCAAAATTCCCCATATCGGAACATGACACATAATTCTGACGGATTCGTCAACGCCAGGTAGTCACAGCCGTATTTTGTTTTTGTGTACGCTACAGATTCATTTTGTACTTGCTAACAACTCTTTTATTGAGAAAAGTTCATTTGCATACAAAAAACAAAACGTCACAAGCAAGTTTTACTAGATTTATACTCAATTAATTATTGCCAACGTTGCAGAGCAATACAAATGTCACTTGCTAATCAGCTGTTCATCTCAGTAGACGTCAAAGCGTGATGGATACTCGTGAAATAGGGTATATTATTTTCGGCTCAAAAAACAAAAGAACATCGATAGAAACAGAAATTAACCTTAAAATCCATGATAACTGGCTTCCTATAATGAATGGTGTAAAAACCTGGGACTCTAGATTGACACAGAACTAAAATATGTACAAAAAGCATCTGTGAAGCATCGGTTATGGCAAAATCAGTTATTGTGACACTATATATGACCCCGCTATATTTTGTAGTGAATAAAGCAAATTACAGCGTATTCGTGCATCAGATTTTCTTGTGAAATAGGAAAGTTTTCTCATTTCTCATAAATTTAAGGAACTTGGTATTTTGCAGATTAAAGGCATACAAAAACTCCACTTATTGACTGCATAAGAAGTTAGCACGATGTAGTGACATAATTCAACTGAATACAAGGAATAGAAATATGTTAGTGATGCGAGTACCCTTCCATTCTAATGCTGTCTACAAAAAATCATAAAACGCTATTAAATTATATAATGATCTGCGGCTTACATTCCAAAATTTCACACTATTTAATTTTAAAAAGAGAGTTAAACTAAAACTGCACGCTGAGGTCTGATGATCAACGCAGTATGCTGGAAATATGGACTATTCTTGTAATTGATTCTATTTTTTTGTATTGTTAGGGATTATTGAGAATTATGCATACATTTTTGTTGGTTGACTATTTTATCATATTATTTTTTTGTTGTTGTTTCAAAAGTAAGTTGAAAAACGCTACTCTTAGCGACACTCCGCCTTTTTTGTACTTTTGTACAAAATAAAGCCTATTTATTATTATTATTATAAATGACGCAGTCGGGAATTTAAGTACTACAAATAAATAAAAAATCAAGGCACATCTGTGATCTGGATGGAAACATGTTTCTTGCTAAAATGGGTGTGTAGATTTCGAATCAGATATGAATTTGGGCTAGCTTTAAAAAGAGGTCAACTATCTACCTCAACGAGTCAGGGTTCTAAAAGCGGGGTTTTTGACCTTGAAAATAAATCAAATTTCAAGTTTGATCACAAGTAAGTTTAGATAATATCTATTTTAAACCTTCACTAATTTTTTTTTATTTTAGTACTTGGTTGTTGTTTAAAAGCCGAAAGTTCACAATTTTGTAAAAATTTGTCATTTTCAAATATTTAACTAAGTTATTTTTGCATAAGCGCTTATTCGCATTACTTTCTACTTCAAGTACTAAAAAAAAATCGTTGAATCTTTAATACATACGTTAAATAAATTTAAATATTTAAATGCAAAAATGTCATGGATGGGAGCAACTTGAAATTGGATTTATTTCCG